GAATCTCTTTCCCTCCTCGTTGGTATCATACAACTGGATATACAGTAAGTGATGGCAAATGCTTCCTTGAGGGAGAGAATGGCAATTCTAGACCTTAAAGAGTCCCTTTTCAAAAATCCTTTATTGGGTCCAATAATAATAGACAATTTTGTCTTGTTTCCAACCTTTCTCCTTCGGGAAGATTATTGAGAAGGTATTATGCTTGCAACTACAGAGGAACCTAGATGAAAAGGATTATCTGGATGTATTTCATACTGGGACAGAGCACTGAGACAGCATTGACAATCTTTTCTGATGACTTCTGGTGGGACCAGGATGTAGGTAGTATATTAATCCTAGCCCTTAATCGCTCTGTGACTTTTTATACCATGTCCATGGTAACTTTTCGAATCATTTTGAGATCTAAGAGTGGGCTGTGTGTGATGTTACATTGGTTCTTCTCTTTCATTTATGACAATTTCAGTCAATGATCGTAGGAAAGGAGAAATCTAACCCAGGGCCTCATATTGTATGGTTCTCCAAGGAACTATTTTCTATCTAATCTTATTTAACATATTTATGAAATCACTGGCATCAAACACTGATTATGGGGTCAAGGCTGATGACACCCAAACATCTCCACTTCGCAGCAGTGGATTCTTTCCCAGTCACTAGAGGCTGTGGAATATCTGGATGAGATGATATAGTAGCTAACTTCATGCTGTGGAGTGGCTAACATGAAGTGACCAAGTATCTGTGGAGTTCTGGATAGGGAAACATAAACTTTGACTCAATCCTTATAAGATCAAATGGCTGTTTGGTTTTAGGGGCTCTGGTTCTGGGGACTCTCCATTTTTGGTTCTGCATAGGATCGCACTTCCCTCAATAGCACTGTGACATGGGCTCCTCTTGGTGCCTCTGGAAGACCAGATATTATGGACAGGAAGGTTTTTGCACAATACCCTCTTGTGTTCTATCCACAACCATTCCTGGATTAGACACGTAAAAATGTTCACTCATGCCCTAGTTACCTACTATACTACAATATCCTCTACAGAGGTCTGCCTTTGAAAACCATCAGGAAACTATAGAGGTACATAATGCATTGACATGAGTAGTTATAGAACAGTGATGGCTAACCTTTTTGCCATCGCGTGCCAGGAGGGGGCGCGGGGGAGGTTCGCACACACACGTGCTCACACCCATAATTCTTTGCGCCTGCACATGTGCAACCCCCCTTCCCCCTGCTCCTGGCAAGCAATGGCCTGGTAGGCCCGTTTTTCTTTCTCACCTGGCTCCAGATCCTCTCTATGCATCTGGGGAGGGAAAAAACAGCCTTCCCCACCCCCTCGGAGGCCCTCCAGAGGCCTGAAACGGCCCATTTCCCAATTCCCGGTTGGACAGGAAGTGACTTTTTTGCTGTCCCCAACCTCCAGAGACTCCTAGAGAGGAGGGGGCTTGGGGGGGTGGAGAAAGCTGTTTTCACCCTCCCCAGATGCCTAGAGAGGATCTGGAGCCAGGTGAGAAAGAAAAATGAGCCTTCCCCCCCTCCAGGCCCTCTGGAGGCAAGAAACAGCCTGTTTCCCTACTTCTGGTGGGCCCAGAAGGCCCGAAAATCAGCTGGCCAATGCGCACATGCATGCCAGGGCTGAGCTGGCATGCCCACTGATATGGCTACATGTGCCATAGGTTCACCATCATGGTTATAGAAGATAAAATAGAGCTGGAACAATTGCACAATACAACTAACCAGACAACTTTTCTTGGTCACCTATTGTTTGGGACTGTTTAATTTAGAAACAAAGTAACTGAGGAAAGACATGACTGACATATATAAAGTCAAGCAAATATGGAGAAAGCAGAAAAGAAGAACTTCTTTTCCTTTCTCCAAAGAGGTCGGAGTCTTCCAAAGAAAAAAGGTTATAATAAAACAGAAGGAAAAAATTATTCCTTTACACAAGCCATTTATTTATATGAATTAACTAGGGAAATTAATTACCTCAAAAGATGCTGCTAGCCAATGACCTGAATGGTTTTAAAACAGAATTAGATAAATTCATGACTGACCTGCTAGTCTTGAAGACCTAATATTATCTCCAAGCAGAGGCCAGCTTGTCTCCAAATACTAGGTGTAGAAGAGGATATTTTTCGAGTTCCTGCTTGTAATCACATCAAACATATCTACTTGGCCACTGTGAGAAATAAAAATCTGGACTAAAATATTATTTGGCCTGATCTAGCTGTTTTTTATTCCTATGACCACCAAAGAAAATAAATAAATAAATGAAAGCTGTTTCACAGAGAAATATTTCATGAAAAACTATCAACCCAGAACTACCTAATAGGCTGAAATTGGCTAGTTTTATCAACTAGTGTTATTTTAAAAATATGTTACCAAAATCAAAAACCTGTCAGAACTCACAATAGGTAATAACCGTTTGCTGTTTTAATAAAATGTAACAAAACTTGCAAAGAAAATAAAAATCCTAAAGTACTTTATTATAGCATTTCCTGTTTAAATCTGATGGTGGTTCTCAATACAATATATTCTCTATATTCAAAGTCCTGATAAAAAGAAAAAGAAAAATTCTACATAATTCGATAAGCAAAGTTTAAACCTCCTTAAAAGAAGCAGGATAATTCACTCTCATTTTTCCAAAGTTTTATCCAATGAGTTCATGACATTCTCATTTAAAATTTGAAAAGTAAAAAGTTTTAAAAATAGCCCTTTAAGAATAAATTTTACCTTTTTGTCTCCACTTTTAAAATGTATAATTGCATAAATGTGCTATATCAGAGATAATTACATACTGGTAGAAGTGTTAAAAATGTCTTTGGTTTCACCTTAAGCATAAGCATTCCAGCTGGTCATTAACTATCTGGAACAGGCCCAATTTCTTTACTGTCATTGATCCATACACATGTACAATTTGAGAGTTTGCTCTTTTAGAAATTTAATTCACTTTCCCATTGTTATACCAGGGAAAGAGCTCCCCCCAAAAAATCCAAAGTTATTCTGAACACTTTTTTATTTATAAACAATAGTTTATTTAACGTAGTTAAATGCAAAATTAAGTTTCAGTCTATCAAATAGATTTCATTATTTGAAGAAATACTTTAAAACCGAGCTTCAAACTACATTATAATATCTGACTTCCAGGAAATTATTAGTAATAAGTAAAAATGACAATCTTGGCAGAGTGGCCAAAATTTAAGTCTCCACATATTCATTCATTATAATTAATTAAATGTATGAAATAAGTTATACATTATAGTTCCTAATTTTTAGAGATCAGGTCAACAATTACTTATGCTGAACACCAACTTTAATGTGTATCACCACTGTACTTCTACTGTAAAAAAAAAAGAATCCTCAGTTTAGTTGTTTAAGTGATTCCTATGACAGCTTATATTTGGAGTTATTCCAAAATCAAAGTTCCTGGAAAAAATTACAAACAGGATGCTAAATTTCTATTAATAATTTATTCACAAAATACTATTTTATTATAGAGACTTTAAATGATTTACAAGCTCCCACTTAATATGATAAAGTCCTAGTAAAGAGTGCATGCATTAATATAGTAACTACTTCAGGAAAGATATAGGAAAATACGTATAGGAAAATATGGTAGGGCCATTTGATCAAGTGGTCCTACTGTAACACAAACAAGTCTACCTCCCAGTGTGTCAACAGACTCAGTCAAGCAGCTTCCTATCCCACCCCACATTTTTCCATTGTTCATTGAAAAAGCAAGAATACAGCTTGGAGAAGATCATGTGTAAACAAAGCAGATCTAATGAATTTCTCATTAAAAAGGAGATCTCATCTTCTAATTAATTGGCAAGCTAATTGCCCAAACTCAATAGTAATCCTAGACTTAGAACCTAGGTGCTACATTACACAGAAGTCTTCACACTCTACAAGCCAGTCTCAGATTTGTCAGTTCTGCTTGATTTGTTCAAATAGTGTATTCCACAACAGCTGTTAGAAATAATACATTGGAACAGCTGCTGTGACAGACACAAAGGACCTGGAATTTTAATTGGCCTCAACATTACACTTTTTGTTTTCCAAAACTCAAAAAAAATAATATCCAAGGAATTGAAAAATGCCTAATAAAACTAGGTGATGTTTGCTTTCTGGTAAGGTAAGGTTTTATTTTGGCTTACAATTTTGCTACACTTGACTCCTTGAAATGACTGATCACACACAAATAAAAAATGACTGACCACACACAAATAGTGGGAATTTCCAAGTGAATAAGAGCAAAGGAAACTAAAGAGGAAGTCTGTAGATAACCTTTTTAAACCCTGGCTGAGAGACAAGAGAATCCTACGGTGCCTCAAGATGGACTCCAAAGAGCTTTATCTGAAGCCTTCTGAATATGCCAACAAACTATTCCTTCACAGTAAATTGAATTAATCCTGTGTACTGTAACTGCTGCAAAGATTAAAATACCTTTTTTTACTGGAAATGTCATTTGATCTCCTGTCTGGAAAAAGGGTAACTAACCAAGTTGTGGGAGGATGTTTTGATGTCTAGAATATTTTTGCTCCTTACAATAAATACTACATAGGATTCAACTCAAACTGAAAACCATTTATAGGCTACAACTTAATTCACAAATTTATTGCATATGCAAAACAGGATTTTGTATCAGAATTTTTAATCATTTACAGTTCTATATCGCAATTTATACTGTGTTGAACATGGTCTTTGATATTTATTCTTAGCTTAGAGCTTAACAGTGTAATATATATTCAATTATTTACAACAGGTTCATAATAAACTGGAAAACTGTAACATTGGTGATATTTGAAAATGTCTGTTTACATGTAATTTATTTTTTATCCTTTCTTCCAACTTTTAAAATGGCTGGTTGTATACTTTCTTCAATGCTGTATAAAACTATAAATAAAATATAACAAAACTGTTCATTATGATCAGCCTAGGGCTTTGGGGTTTTGTTTTGGGTTTATTCAATAGGGGTACAAAAAGAGAGTAGAGAAAGCAGTCTTACTTTCAGCATCTGCACAAAGTAGGAAGCATAGGAGCACTCCTATTGGCCTGGCTATGTGCATCATCTGACAGCTTGGCACCAGCATGCTTCGACAGCTTTGGTCACTGGCTTAGAAGCCACTGCGAGTATCTCCAACCTGAAATTCCAGATGAAGAACTTTCAAAGCCTGAGAGGAGCAAGAAATAAAACAAAAGAGAGACAGAGAGACAGAGACAGAGAGAGAGAGAGAGAGAAAGACAAACGTTCAGAATGCTTTGCTTTTCCCCCTCCAAATTCACCCACAAAACATAGTATTAACAATAAAGGTAAAGTGAATGCTCTGGAGATCAAGATTAGCCTTGCAAAATAAATTAAAAACTGTACATTTTAACAGCATTTATAAAAAGGCCAAAACAAAAATAATTATTTCCCAAGGCATCCTGTAAACTATACTGGGATTAATGATTCCTATGTGCTAGGAAATACTTTCTTTTCTTAGAAACATGAGACGGAGTTATTTCTAATGATATCCTCGTTTAATACTTAACTGAATAAAGCATATGGATCCTTTAAAGTAACATTTAGAAATAATCAACTTCCAGAACAAAACTCTGGTAAAAACAAAATGTCAGAGGGTGATTTATTTACATCAAATAAGAATGAAAGGGCCAAATCTGCTTCTGCTCCTAAAGTACTATCTGCAACAGTAGGACATAGGCATTTGTGTATTAATTTAACAACTGTGTCTCTGATTGTAGCATCTTATCATTCTTCTATATATTAAAGCAAACTTTCTGTTTTGTCTCTGGTTTAGTACTATATGTAAATTATGTAATTCATAATTAAATTATAAATAAATATCCCATATTCTGGATCAGTTTAATTTTATATCATATATGAACTAATGAATAATAGAGAGTGAACATCTGCTATTAAGAAGAAATAAATTTTGCTCTGCTTTAACTGTATTAGCAATAAACATGGAAATGTATGCCCCCTTGGAGAAAATTTTAGCTATATCTCAAAACAGAATTCTTGCACTAATTGTTCCACAATTATAGCTTCTAAAAGTAGTAAGAGACACTGTTTGGCAGCTTTGAAATGAGCACAATATAAAGAGAAAAACATTATAATAACACAAAAATATATTCACTGCATGCCAAAAAAATGTAAAAGGAATAAACAATAATAATGATAATAGCAGCACACCTTTGCATATTCATAAGCAACATTTTTAAAAAAACTGCTTTATGGTACAGAACAATATTTTGAAAAATCTATTTGAGGAAAGAACAAGAGAAGCAGATGTTACAAATGCACTACCATAAAACTCTTTCAAATGATATTCCTGATTTGATTGTTACTATCCAAAAGCGAATTTAAGAGGCATAAGCAATGTACTAAAAGTACCGGCTTTCTGTTTTCTTTGCTACCCACTTTGTGCCAGCCTTTCAAGTGACAGCAAAGTCCATGAGACATCATTCCTGTCGGATTCAATTTGTCTCTGTGCAAGCATAGAAGAACCAAATGCTGCAGCAATGACTCCACTCTTATCACATAAGATGGAAAAGTGTTTTTGCATGAATTCATTTGACAAAGTGATAACAAAGGATCAAACTATTTTCAGATTCTTATGGTATTTTGGATTTTAAAAAAGCTCTTGTATCTCAATATCAGCTGAACAATTTTCAAGCTAGGCCTTTATAGAATCTACATAGGTCTTAATGATCAAATAAATGGCTCAGGAAAATAATGAAGAAAAAAATTGTGAGCTGCATCAAATTCATTTCCAAATATGTTATTACTCTAAGGTAGCAATGAAAAAAGTATTTTGTTCATATAGTTGAAATGTGCGATCAGGTTTTGGTGGCAAATGAAAGGGACGTAATATAAAATATGTTCTGCCTACCTATGAGACAGGTTTTAGTTTCTTGTTTTCAGCTGAATGTATTTAGCTTATACTCAGAACTTGTGGGAGGGAGGACAGTGTACAATCTCACACTCTGAAATGAATTATTAAAACATTTCTCCCATTTTCCATGTATTTCAATATGCTATATTTTTAGAGTGTGAAATAGGCAAGAGAAAGTACATATCCTTTCCTGGTTAATTTCAGACATCCATCTATCTATCTATCTATCTATCTATCTATCTATCTATCTATCTATCTATCTATCTGAAATGATAAAGCATCACATGAAAATAAACACTGTGGTAAATGACATAAATACATGGTAACTGCTTTTTGTATTATATATATATATTTATTTGTGCTGACCAAAGTCCCTTTCTCCCACCTTCCTCATTAGGTTGTCTATCTTTTTCCTCTGTCTGCTTCTTGTGTTTAATAGGAAAATTTTAACAAATGGCTTCAAAAGTAACTTCTGCTTCTCAGTATATTCTGAAAGACTATAGATACAAAACTTATATTGCCAAATGTTATACACGGTAGAAGGCTAAAAATAAAGATCAGGAATTCTGCAGCTATATAAATACCGTATTATGCTCAGTCGCCATGCAGACATAAGCCATTAACAGTAGCAAAGTCTTTGGTACTATACCCCTAGTGGCATTATTGTTCACATCACAAAACCCTGAATCCTTTGTGATGTGATGTCTTTTCTCTGAACGCTTTCAGAGTGCTATAAGTTGAACTAAGTAGAAAACATACTAATATGTTCCCTCAGTGACCCTTAGCCTTTTAGGGGGAGGGAAAAAACCCTCTTTCCTTGTTGGTATATCTACAGCAAGCTTTTAGTATTTTAGGCTGTGAAAATACATGTGTCTGGAATAGATAAATGGTTTTTAAAAATACTGTTAGTGAAGTCATGCGGATGACGGAGCTAGTAACAGGGATTAGCTGCTATAGGGGCAAATGCTGTCAAACTGTTTCACACAAATTCTGCTTCAGCCTTGACCTACAATGTGCTTTAAACCCCAGCCCAACCCTAACTCATTGAAGAACAAATAATACTGCTAGATAGTGGTGAACAGGATGTAGGCATTTTTTAAAAACTATACTTGCTCTTAAATTAAAATCTCTACCTTCAAAACTCTTCACCTTTCAGTGCAGAGCAGGGGTGGTGTTCAGCCGGTTCGGACCAATTCAGGCAAACCGGTAGTTCCAACGATCAGCTGGCCCAGCCCATCTGTACCCACCCTAGCCTGACCTATATTTCTTTCTTTCTAGCTCAGCTGATTCGTGCAGCACAGCTGATTTCCGCGCCTCTGCTGTTCTACTTCCAGGGCTGCCTTAGAAGGTAAGCAGCCGAGCTTCAAATTGCTGTATTTTGAACGCTGAGCGCAAGCACGAAGCGCACACTCACCAAACCGGTTGTTAAACCGGTTGCATCCCACCCCTGGTGCAGGGGGCATGTTTTATTCTTCACTGCTAATAAGAATAAGAAGTTACTTTTGACCAATTCTTTTAGAAGAATTGACCTTTTCTAACCTCCTAGAATAATAGAAAATTTGTGGGGATGGCAGAAGTAACTCTTAGAATGGAGAATTTTATATAAAAAATACTATTCTTCATGTTGCAGTTTGACAGGCAATGCTTCAGTATTTCAGAGAAACCAGGAGTGAAGATGTTTTCACAAAAACATTGCAAAAGATGTTTTGGAAGTTGCATGGAATGGTGCCTGTTATTCAGCCAAATGATACCCACTACAGAATAGATTCCCTCACAAATACACTCTAATTATTTTCAGAGAGATGAAAATTTATTCTACATTTGTGAAAAGTGAAAATGGGATAAAGGGTAGGAACAGTTCCATTGCCTGAGCAATATATTGACTCCCAGGTTGCATTTTTATTTTATCGAAAAAAATATAAGGATGTGTAATTATAGTTTTTAAACATTCTCTTCAATTGTTGCCTTTTTGACAAATCTAGGTTACTGAAAACAGATAAAAGATTATCTGTTTAAAAATAAATGTATACTATGATAGTTTAACAATGTGTTCTCTTTTCTGAAAATCTTCAAAGGCAAATCTAGATGCAGACAATTTCTATCATAAACACACAGTTAAAAGAAGGACTCAGTTTTCCAGTAAAGAAGTTTATTAATTTTCTGTGCACTGATCACAAAATTAATTTTACTGCATATTTTACATATTAAATTTACTGCAATAGATAAAAATATGTTAAGAAAAAAAAACCCTCAGAATTTACTGGCATGCCAAATATGACTCCCTATTAGGATGTACATATTGGAATGTAAAGTGATAAGCCAGACTAGACATACAATGTCAAAAAAGATGTCTCATTCACTCTGGGTAACAAAAAATGTCTTTTCTGAAGTAATGCATATATACATTAATGGCATCAAAACATAAAGTAGATGAGTGTAAAGTAAAAGTAAAGCAAGATGTATTATACAAATTAACTATGTATAACTACCTCATGTATTTTTCACTGAGGTAAATTTCAAATCTAAATTTGTTAATAGTGACATCAATCTAACTTTTTTTTCATATAAACAACAGGGAATTTTTATTTTAGTTTCTTCTGTTTTCTCTGAGAACTGGTCGAGGGATTTTGAGATAACATGTTACAAAACTCTATGGTGGTAAAGTGTCCTAGATTAAACAGCAGGGGAGTTAGATTGCTGGAAATGTTTAATTATAACAAAGATATGTGTAATCCATATCTTTATGTGAAAATAGTATTACTCTTGTTTAAATTTCAACTTCTTTAAACACCAACAGTTAGAGTAGAGGCATAGTTCATAGAAACAAAATATATAAAAAAAGGATCATGATATTTGCTTCTTGAAATGAGATTTGAGTTTGTTCTTCTGGTTGGTTTGAGGCCTCTGAGAGTGTGCTACGATGGAGGTATGAAAGTTACCCCATACCATCCGTCCTCTTCATTTTAACTTTTTATTTAACTGTTGCTAATCTTAATTTTAATATTTATAATGTTTTTATATCTATGTTTTTATTCTATTGTAAGAGTCATTCCAGAGAGTGAGATATCTGTGTGAGAGGTATCACATGACCACAACTTATGCTAGCATCATCAGTGATTCTACTTGTTAAAAAACTGGCAATGAATGGTAATCATGTAATTGTCAGACACTGTGCCAGTTGTAAATCCCCATTGGTTGTGAAATGCCCAAATCTTGATTACTTGATTACATGGACTCTGCGAAAGGTGTAAATGCAAGGACTGATTGCAAAGTTA